CCCCCCACATTATACCTAGGCCTACTATTACTACCTAGGCCTATTCCAGGCCAGAATGATAGGCCCCTAGCTAGCTAGGCTAGGCCCTATCTATGTTTAACTGGGTTAGTTACAGTATATAATACTTAGGCCTACACATGTTTATAAAACCAAAATCCAGCCCTAGGCCTAGCCTTCTCTCCACACCAGCACAGCACAGCAGACCCGAAACTTTTGTTCGCAGGTGGAAATCAGTAGGCGTGGTTAGTTTGTGGGGCGTGGCCACTGATCTCAACTATATTCCGCATGCGCATTCGTACAATGACGTGGGCATGCGCACACGCACCACGTATGTTAACGTTCCACATGGTGGTATGATTGTTGTATGTCATTAAAACATTTCTTTATTTTTTTGTTGTAACTGCAGCAGATGTAATTCGATTTAATGGGAGGCCACAAGACAAAGGGGAAGAGGAAAAGGCAAAAAAGAGGACATGCAAAAGGTGAAAATAAAGGTAAACAAACCGTAATGAAAATGTTAAGCCACAACTTTTTCTGAATGGCAGGCAAGCAGTGCAGAAGAAGGAAGAGCAGCTTGGCAGGAGGTCAACTCGGCCCCAAGTTAACTCGAGCCCCAATTTTACTGTATGCGAAATAATTAAAGTGTTTTAAATCGTTGCCCTTGTTACTCTTTTTTCATTTACAATAATAAAACCAGCATAAATAAAAATAATATTAATAACTAGAAATTGCAAGTGAAGTGCTGCGAAGTACAACTGCATATAAATGTTCTTCGAACAAAATTATTTATGCGAGTCAAGTGAAAATAATGAATAATAAAAATATAGCAAATAATATGAGACACACGACCCATTGTCTATAGCGTTGGTACCGGGTATGCCTGTCTACAACAAGCGTCGCCTAAATGTAATATTAGCACGCTGAAATAGGCTAGTATAGTTTAACTGGGTTCGTAAATAATATTGTTTTGAGGCCAATTCTGGAACTGTTGTGTGCCCCCTTCCCCTTTGAAAATGTCAAATTTTTAGCTCAAATTATATTTGTAATTGAGTTAATGCTACTCACTTATCTATTCTGGAACTGTTGTGTGTCCCCTTCCCCTTTGAAAATGTCAAATTTTTAGCTAAAAATAGGAAATTTTGAAGTAATATAACTCGCACAGGTTGTTGTTCGCACAAGTGGATCTTCTTCCGCTCAAACTAGCCTCCGCTCGAAAAAAAGTCCGCTTGAATTCGCTCGAAGTGGTATCCGCTCGAATTGACTGGTTCTCGTACCAGGTATGCCAGTCTACAACAAGTGTCGCCTAAATGTAATAATTAGCAAGGCTAGTAAAGAAGTTTAACTGGGTTCGTAAAAAATTACGGTAAATTATAACTTTATGATAGGCCTAGCTTGAGGATGGGCTTTCTGGTCAAAACGGCAATAAACCAAAACGGCATTGTAATAAGTCAAAACGGCAACAAAACAAAATGGCAACAATTTTGACTAGAAAGGCAATGGACCAAAACAGCAATAATTAAAATTGACGTTTTACTGTAACTGTTTTGAATATATGAATATTTTTTTTTATACTAAGGTGTGAAGGAACTGACAGCAAGAACTCACCATGAAGAGGATCCAATGGAAGATGGTAAAACCAAGATCACAATGAAAAGTAAAGAGAATGAGCCTAAAAAGAAAGCAGCTTATAGTGTTGACCAAATAATAGATAAGGTATTGTGATGTGTTGTTGTTGTTGGGTGTTGTTGTTGTTGGGTGTTATTGTGTTGGGTTGTTTTTGAAAAATACCGTAAAACCTTTAATAGAAGCCCAGTGGGCTTAATGTCGAGAAGAAGCCTGTCTCTAATTGAAGCCCCTCTCTTTAGTTTGCAGAAGTAGCCTTAAAAAGAAGCCCACCTCCAAGATAGCATGGGCTTCTTTTCGAGATAGTAATACAGTACATGAATTTCAAATAAAAGACACGCTTGTTTTATACCATAGTTTAGGTGATTTAATGCTGGTTAATACACAACATGATACAAACTGATGTTACAGTGGCCATTTATTGTTTTATAGTTTAGTAATTCTCAAAATTTACAGCATTCATTTTGAAAAGATAGCTCCCCCTCCCCCCATTTACTTTGGGAAATTAGCCTTGAAAAGCCGCCCATCCAAATGTTGGAAAAAAAAAAGAAGAAGCCCAGGGATTCTATTCGAGGTTTTACGTTTTGTATACTGGGTGTTTACATTGCACCATTTTATTTTTTACATCCATTCTATATGACCTTGAACAAAAGCCTAAGTGCATTCTCTATTATTTATTAACCTAAAATTTATTTATTCGTCAGCAAAATTTGTATTTATTTTCTCCGCTGCCTAGAAAATGCCTTAGGCAGAACAATTTTGATAAATAAAAAGACAAAATGTTATTTTCATATTTCTCTGGCTCTTTGGTAATAAATTCACTAAACAAGGTACAGTATAAAAAATGGTCCTACCTTAAAGATGTACTGTCCCTTGAAAATGACCAAAATCATAAAAAATAATTTTTCAATTAACTTGCTCAATTTGCAATAACATACAAATTATTAACTTGAGCATATAAATTATTAAATTAAAAAAGTGTGTTTCCTGATTTTTTAACTGGATAATTATAATAAAGATATCATCTATCATTTTTTCGCTGTAAAATGATGGTTTTTATGGGTAAGCATTTTTTAAATACACTAATTTCTATGTTCAAGTTAATAATTTTTATGTTACTTCAAAATGGGCAAGTAAATTTTAAAAATGATTTTTATGATTTTTTTTGCAAGGGACAGTACATCTTTAACCCCCTTGCCAACCAGTTCATTTCACCAGATCTCCTAGTCCTGGAAGGGATTTCCCCAATTTGGGACCCCTGCTTTTGGCATCAGTGTCTGTATTGTTCGTTCAATTAAGTATCCCTTTTAAAGAAACAGTTTAGGAATTTTAATTGCTAAACTTTTTTTGTTGCCTTTAGGCTGAAGAATGTTTAGATACCTTCAATTTTGAGATGGCTCAGAAATACTGCCAGAAGGCGCTGGAGATTGAACCAGACAATGTCCGAGTGCTCGAGATGACAGGAAATATGTTGGTAGAGATTGGAGATATTGAAGGAGCTAAGAAAATATCCTTACAATGGTTATATCTGTGTTCTCTGTAGTCTTAAAAAAAACCCCAATTACAAGTGTTGTTTAGATACCAAAGATAGAATTGTAAATTAAGTGCTATTTGGCGAGTGGATTGCCTGAGCAGTAGAAACCGGGCAGTGATTGCGTTGTACGAAGGTCGTATGGCCGCCATACGGCGAATCCAACTCCGTTCTCTGTGAGTGCTAGATGACGCGGCGTCGTCTTCTGATTGTCCATGGCAGTCGAAACGGATCGTCAATCAAAGCAGTCCGTTGCACACTTCGTTGTGTTCTGTATCGCGTCAGCCAACAGCCATTGGGTACAGTGAGTGGCCGGCTTAAGGCAGGGGTGCCGTAACCTACAACCATAATATCGGCGCTGGTTCGAGTGACACGCTTACCCGTTGTTCTGGTGGTGGAACAAGTCTTTTCATATAAGAACTATAAACCGTAGGTCCAGTGTATACAATTGACTCGTGTGCACTTAATAAAAAACCAGTGGTGGATAGACAAATGTAGCTGGTGCCAGTTTTTCGGGTTTCTAAGTTACTGAACAACATATGTACACACATCAGGCGCCGTGAGTGCCAGGTTTGGCATATACTAGCGTTTTACAAATATCCACTAATTATTATTATTAATATTAGTGCAAGCCAAGCATATGTTTAGTCAAGAATTCCTTAACTCCTCCTAACTGTTTTGGTAGGGCAGTAACTGTTTGTCCTGATTCTGGGTTTGCTAAATACATGTATCTGGGACAAGTTTTTGAGGGACAACAAGCCATTGAATGTTTTACCAAAGGAATTGATATAATGTTGAAAGAACGGCAAGAGAGAAATGCAGAAGAGGTAAACAATTATTTCCTTATCAATCAAGTATCTGTATTCTAAAATTATATAATATGATTATTAATATTATTCTTATTACTAGTACTAGTACAATCATTTTGTTGTATACTACTATACTATTACTGTTATTTAATAGGATTTTATTTTTTTTAATATCACAGTGATTAAAATGTTTGTTTAATTTTAGAGTGAAGGAGCATGTGCAATGACCTCTGAGGGAGGTGTATCAGATGGTGATGTTGCCCGTGCATATTGTTCAATAGCAGAGATATATCTAACAGATTCATGGTAGGTCTTTAAAAAGAAGCCGGGTAAAAATTTGGGTACATTTAAGATCTTACACCAAGCAATGTTTATTTTTAACAATATGTCTTGAAAATTTAAACACAGACAAGGCTGGCCCAGTTTCCTTAGTGTAAATGGATTATAATTCCAAATCACCAGCCTGGTTCATGGCCAGCTTGAAGTGTAAAGCTACTCGACTTCAAGACCAGCAATGTCTAACGAATAACCAATGATTACACCAAGGATCGAAAACGGTCATTAATTCCAATGCTCCAATTTCGTGGATCTAATTGCAGGTTACACAGTGTTTTAGCTCTGATAGTAGCTCGGTTTGTGCCCTAATCTTGATCCCTTAAGCGTAAATAGTATTTTGGAAACATCTGTATTTAAAATACTAACAAAATACAAATTTCTTTTCCCTATTGAGCTTTGAAGACAAGGCAGAAACCCAGTGTTATGAGCATCTAGAAAAAGCATTGCAGTACAGCCCACACAGCCCAGAGGCCTACCAGCTAATGGCAAGCTACTTCCTTAGTATCGAGTCTAATCAGGTAGGCGTAGGTATATTTTTTCATCAATTAATATCTATCATCATAACTTCTTCATACTACTTTGGGTGAAAATGTCTCCTTTCTTTGAGTCTCCTTTTTCACTTTTCTGTAGGTCCCAGCTTTAAAATGTAATGTTTCTGAATTTTTAACCATAACCATCTATCCATATATTATTACTCAGTCTGATCTTGGTATTTCATACAAACATGAATATGTTAATATTTTAGATTTTATGGTCTTGTATATTTTTCCCTAATATTTAAAGATGAGAATCATGGCCTTTGTTTATTTTAAGTTTATTTCCAGTGGCATATCTAAGATTCTTGAAATGGGTGAAGGTGGGGGTGGGGCCGTAGGTGGAGTGGGCCCTCGATAATTGAGGGGGGAGGGAGGTGCTAGGTCGAAAACTAAAGCAGGGCTCGAAATTCACGCTAGCAAACTAGCAATTTGCTAGTAGGTTTGTCATAATTGCTAGGTAAAAATTCACAAACCAGCAAATTAAAAAAAATGATTGCTAGTTGAAATATCTATACAAAATATCTTGTAATTAGCCTAGTATTAACTAAAACTATACTAAACTGATCTACAAAAACTAATACAAATTTTATTAAATTTATTTATTTATTTTTTAATTATGAAAATCGACTAAAAATGCCTATAATCAACGAAAAACGATCGTTTTTTTTTTTTCATCTTGAGCACAAGATGTGAAGTGCGCCACCAACATTAATTTTTTAAACCTTACATTGCTTGCATGCATGCAACAAGCTAAGTAAGCAGTGTGCAGAAAAAAAATCGCTCACATGGGTTTGTTGACGGAAGTCACGGGCGATGCAATCGGTAGTTAAGGCGAACATATTTAATTTGGTTCTTTTTAGATAATAAACAATGTTTCAGATATGATAATAATAATTTACTATGAAGCTTAGGCAAATAATAGGTTAAAACCTAGGCTTCAATTGGCAGATGTTTTAGGCCTACTAGACCTTAGCCTAGCTAGTCTGGCTAGGCCTAGTAAATGTCTCCTTTCTTTGAGTCTCCTTTTTCACTTTTCTGTAGGTCCCAGCTTTAAAATGTAATGTTTCTGAATTTTTAACCATAACCATCTATCCATATATTATTACTCAGTCTGATCTTGGTATTTCATACAAACATGAATATGTTAATATTTTAGATTTTATGGTCTTGTATATTTTTCCCTAATATTTAAAGATGAGAATCATGGCCTTTGTTTATTTTAAGTTTATTTCCAGTGGCATATCTAAGATTCTTGAAATGGGTGAAGGTGGGGGTGGGGCCGTAGGTGGAGTGGGCCCTCGATAATTGAGGGGGGAGGGAGGTGCTAGGTCGAAAACTAAAGTGATATGAGGTGTTTTTTTAACTACTTGAGCATAATTTTTTGCTTTGCACATTTTCAAAACTTTGGGGGTGGGGGAAGTTTTTTTGGGAGTGCAACCACATCCACCACCTGCATACCCCTAGATACTCCACTGTTTATTTCTGTGCTCCTTAATTTTCATATTAAGTGCATGTGTTGCTTTATTAAAATAATATTGTAATGATCACACAATTTAAATTTCGTAGTAGACTTTTATAATGCAATCCTCAAACTCATTTTCTAGCAAGCCAAAGAAATGATCAACAAGAGTGTATCACTATGGCTACCAAAATTAAAAGAAGTAGAAGGCAGCAAAGCAGCAGGAGACAAGTTTGACCCCGTAGAGACTTGTCCAATGAGCTACCTCAGTCGAGTTGGAGCTATCAAGATTCTTATAGAAGTTGAGGAATTTGATGTAAGTTTTGATAGAAAATGGTTAAGGAACAGTGCTGATGTTTATTGCTTTTTTTCTACTATATAATACTTAAAAAACATTTTCTAAATTTACTAGCATAGAAGTTGTTAGTTGTAATTAGTAAATAGATACAGTATATTAATTTCTATCAATTGGATAATCAAAAATAAAAATAATTGGTATTTTAATTGTAAGTAGCAAATGATAACCCATAATGTCATGCTGCTGTCCCTGTAAAACACTTGATCGATGTTTTTGAAGCAATCAAATTATTATTATTTTTTTTTTAGGTTGCTGAAGAAATATTACAGATGTTGTTGGAGGAGGATGATGAAGTTGTTCAAGTGTGGTATCTGCTTGGTTGGCTCCATGTTTTACAAGATACCGATGAAGATAAATCATACGCTAGATATTTTTTACACAAAGCCATGAAGGTCAGTATATCGTACATTTTGCGTAAGTGGTCAACTCCAAATAGAATACATACTGTGGAGTGTTTCTTTCCATTGTTATCACATAATGAAAATCTCTATGTGGTGAGCTAATTTATTTGAAAAATTGAAATATTGATTTTATTTAAGCAAGTTAATTGCTATCTTTTTCATTTGGTTGATGTATTTATTTGATCCTCTTAATTGATCAATGTATCATTTGAATTTGTATACATTTTACAACAAACAGTATATATTTAATATGCAGATTAACTATTGCACCATTGTTTGTATCATTGATCTAAAGGCCACCCTCTGGAATTTTGACATCTCGCCAATGTCTTGGTGTCAATCCAGTGTTATCTCGTGGGGCTTAGTGTTACTGTGTAAAAATTGTATTATTGAAACCAAATAATTATATTGTAAATCTTGATTTTAGCTAAGCCAAAAAGATGAAGGAGAATATGCATCCATGATACAGCATACTAATGAGCTATTAGAAAAACTCGGACCAGGAGATGGAGATGCAGAGGATTGGCTCGAGAAGCAGATATTGGAAGCAGTTGAGAATGAGGATGATGATGACGATGAAATGTCAAGTGATAATGAAGAAGAAGATATGGAACAATGATAAGAGATGTTCCATCATTGATGTGTTTGCTGATAGCCAGTCCCATCCTATATGTTTACTATTAAAATCAAAAGCTTTTTCTATAATATAAATCTTCAAGTAAACTGTAGGCTTCCGTGGTTCTAAAAAGAACTATGATTGGTCAGAAGTTACCTATACATTGTGGCAGGTGTCCCAAGTTGGAAGAAGTCATTTCTGGGAGATTTGGTTAAATGAGCCTTCTTAACACGTCTAATTTCATTTTGCTCCACATAGCAACAGCCATCGGCACTGACTTCCGTGAGACAATTGATAATAAAGCAGTGAAATTATTCAACTATTATGAATTTGCAGGAGATGGGATATTTTCCAGAAGATTTCATGTTTGCTTTTCGGGAGTGTGGGAGGTTGTCCCGATTTTCAGTGAGACTCCCGCGAGTTGCAATCATCTTCATCAGAATAGTGAAGAATGGTTAGTGTTGACCTTAATGTAAACATTGCTTGATAAACACTTGTTTAAGATATACTGTGAAAAGGATGGTATGTGAAGAGAGAAGACATGATTGGTATTGGGGTATTGACCTAAAAGTGTTCCACAATTTGTCTGGTGATTTTACATGTATGAATGAAGAATGATGGATAACCATAAGTATTCATCTTACGTGGCCATCTCTTCAATCCCGACAAGGTACCTTCCCACATTCGCGCAGAATTTTGTGTACACTTCACCATTTTACTAAGTTGTTTCCAAATATATTTTGCGCATGCTGCGGAATATGGATAGCTTGATATTGATCCCAAGGTATGGTCAGGGCCTCTCTATGAACAGATAACCTTCTGAGAGAAAGTTCCGAAATATGTTTTTTAATAGCTTTTAATTAATTTTTTTGCCACATTTTAGGCAAATTCAACTTTGATAAAAAAAAATAAATAAAAAGCACATAACATAAAGTGCTACAATGTTTAATCATTAAGAGACAGTAGAAAGTTAATATTGTTAACAAATTGCTAATAAAAAAAATATATTTTAATCAAGAAAGATATATTTTATGCAATCCTAATGTTTTATTTATTGAGCAATGCAATATCACTTTTATTAAATGTACTTTATTATTAAAGATTGCATATACAGTACTGTATACGTTGTATGTATACATATGCAGGAGTGATTATATTTATTAAATAAATCCAGTTTCCTTTAAAGTCAATCATCATGTGTAAAAGAATAAAAATGTTGATTGTGTTGTATTAATTTTAATGTTAGCCACACATGAAGTAATGTTACACCACATACACAGGCCGAAGCTCATGTAATCTCCATCATTTTGGCAGTGTCTATAATATTTATCTGGGCTGATGTTCCCACCAAAGTTTATAGGTTATCTGTCTATAAAACCTTTTGAATAAAGGTGTTTTTTTTTTTTAGAATGAAAATCATTGTCTTCATGTTTAATCATAGTGCAGTATTGGCTCAACCCACTTCACACATAAAAAAAGTAACTATTACAGTATGTTGTTTCTGAACATTTTATTGAGAAAAAGAAGACAACATAGTTAACGAGCTGAGTAAGTAAAGCACCCCATTCTTAAGCCCTGTCCAGACTAAATTTTATTTGACAAAAACGTGTGACTTGCCTAGTTATGGTCATGATGACATCACAGTTTTTTTTGTCAAATAAAATTTGATGGTCTGAACTAAGCTTTAAATAAAACAACTCCCTAAATATAAACCATGTTTACTAAAACTTTTTTGCTGATTGTTCAATAGCAAATAAGTTGTAATCAAACAATGATTTTTTTCAAATTTGTTCAAATGGAAGATATATGAAGGAAAGCATGTGAATATGGCAGTTAAATCACAAATGCAGTCATAAAAGGTGTTTATAGTTAAATCACATACTGTATTTAACAAGAACTCGCATAAAATCTATACACTTAAAAACACTGGTCTTGTTTCTGCACAATTAAATAATTTAATGGAGGCAGTAACCAAACGACCTACGCTGTGGTCATTTGATCAAGTCGCTGCTTGCTGACAATTTTGTTTTATAATCAGACGGTATTGGGGTACAATAAATTTTCTCAGAAAACTGCATTATAGTAATTAGTTTTTTCCTTGTATGGTGTAAAATTTACAGTTAACAGTATACCACCCCATTTAATATTTTTATTGAAATAATTTTTGTAAGTATCCTTATATTCTTTTCTTAGATTTACCTGATTAAAAATCACATTAATCTGTGTAATTTAAATATTTGTCTAGTGGCCTCATTGGTCAATTAATAGCTACAAACTTGTCAAGTTCAAAGGTGAATCTAAATATGCAAATCTTGGAACATTAATATTAATATTTTTAAATAAAATATTCAAAAATTGCACTTATTTTTTAAAGTACACATATGCACTTTTAAGTATATAACATTTAGCTCATTAAACTTTAGTGCCAATAAGGCAGAAGGCCTAGCAGTAGATTATTCTATCATCAAATGTATAGTTTCCATGCCTCATACTCTGTTTTCCATTTCAGCAGTCATATTGTTCACTTGATCAAGTACCCATTCAATAGTGGGACGTTCCATAGGCTCCACCACCAGCATGGAGGAAATGAGGTCATTGACCACTGGTGCATATCTGAGAAAATAAATTTTCGATAGATTACTACTGTACAGTACATCCAAAAGATTTATGTTGTTTACATTGTTTTTTGGTTGTGTGATGACTTCTAGCCTAAATGCTAATGAGGATATTCAGCATCAAGACAGGGCCTTGGGGGTGCAGATGCACTTGCCCATGACACTAAGTGGGTTAAAAGTATTAAATTTGACCATTAAGTTTGCATTGGAATAGGGATTTAGTTCTGCATTCTCAATTTTTGCTTCCCTAGACCACTTCGCATCCCCACCCACCCAAAATCAAAAAGTGGGTTAAAAATATTAAATTTGACCATTAAGTTTTCATTGGAATAGTGATTTAGTTCTGCATTCTCAATTTTCGCTCCCCTTGACCACTTCGCATCCCCACCCCACCCAAAACCAGCATACGTCCCTTTTAGCAGTTAACATTTTATGCCAGAAATTCTTCAAATTCTGTAATAGAGGTCCCAAATCTGTGGGAGTCTTCCAGAAGTTGACACCATCTTCCACACACTCTTGAACAAGATATGCTAATACAGTAGCGAGTGTTCATACAATACCACTGTGATGTGATGCTGCTTCATGTATTGCAAAAATACATAAATGCTCATTGCCGTCTTGCCTAGTTGGCACTATTATAACTACTCTATAGTTGAGACTGGTTGTTGTCAACCGTTTTATACAGTGTAATTTAAAAAAATTTCTTGCAACAGTTATTAGAAATTATGACCGTATTGTGGTAACAAACTAGTTGGGTAAACTCAAATGAGGTCTAACAAGCAATGATCCAAAACTGTAAAGAACATAAGAGTGGAAATACAAGATGAAGGAAACTTTGGAAAGAACTTACTCCGATGTTTCTGGAAATTTGAAGTTCCTTCCTATAACTGCCAGATGAATACTGTCGCCTTTCATGTAGATGGGTTCAAAGGGTGAATACAGATATGCCATATTGAATAGTGTACAACCTAGAGACTGCAAATACAAGAGACATTATTCTTCATTGTTAGTCAATTAGTTAATCTTTATTTCACTCATTGTATGTTCATAGCATGGTTGTATACGAGTGGTGCAACCTCAAGAAATGGTCAGCAAAATATAATTAAATGGTTCTGTAATCAATTTATGAAACCTTGAAGAAACGTATACATATACACTTGAGTACTATACTGTGGAGGTTCAGATTAGAAATGCTATATGTGGATGGGTATAATTGTGTTGGGTAGAGGGTTCCAGGTTGTGACCTTATAAATGAAAATCCTTGCCGAGCCCTGGGGCTCACATGGTCTGGAGCTTATCCCAAGTATTAAGTAGTGTGAAGCTGATGAGATTGTGATGGTCTACCACAGGTTACACCTATCCCAGCAATTTGACGGTAACCATTTACAGCGAAGGATTGAAACCATGACGACGAGGTTGGGAAACCAAACCATTTTGACTGCACCAAACCGGTTCTCATGGTTGTGGCATTAATAAAAGAAAATTGATTTTCAGTAAGTGAAAGCTGTGGCAATTGGGGAATTCAACATGTCTGTATTCTCCTAGAGGTTGCAGAATTCCTTTTATAAATCATCAGTTAGGCATACTTCATTTTTGGGGGAAAAAAACCATCAAATACCCACCCAGATATCTATCTTCTCATTGATAACACAGTGACTTTCCACATGAAAGAGCTCAGGTGCTCTAAACAGCATGCTACACTTCTCTCCTGCAGTGTCCTGTAGTAATTATCAATAAGTGCAATTAAATTAAGACAAATTGTTATCTTAAAGTAGGTTATAGTATGATTACATACCTAAATTTGCAAGTATTACAATAATTAAATAATGATATAATGAAGAAAAAACAACCACCACCAACAACTACAACAGCCAACAAAGACACCACCACAACAACAATAACAGTTTATAACTTATATAACAGTAGTCCCACATATCTCCATCATCATTTATCACTATTGTATCCAATATGTCATCAATATGATAATAATATAATCTTCCATATTCATTGCATTTTATCCATTACCTGAAGCGCAATAGCCTCTGACCTGCCAACAACCTCTAACCTTGCAGGTGCCATTGATCCAAAATCCATCAACACTGGCGAGTCATCATCTGCTAACATTACATTATGAGGTTTGATGTCCCTAATCACAAATTACATTTAAAAAAACATGAAAATATAACATGTAAAAACAATATCAAATGTCATATTTTCTTATATATACATTATAACACAAGTCTCCCTCGAATATAGACCACTTTTGGAACCGGGTTTTTCCTGGTCCTTAGCACCTGTGGTCTCTAATAATTGGAGGAAACTTTAATAGGAGGGACACCCGTGTACAAATATTAAATACAGTACTGAAATATTAATAAAATGTATAAATAATAAAATTATAATAAATATGATAAAGTTTTGATGAGATAGGATATATGTGATATGATATACGAAACAAGATATACACAATAAATAAGTAAAAATATAATACAAATATTTATGGACATGTTTGGTTGCCATTAATAAAAGTAATAGTTGAAGGATCTGGTGCTTATTGGGGGCTTCAGAAATTTGGTCTTTAATAGGAGGTGGTCTCTATTTGGAGGAGACTTCATTTGGAGGGTGATATTTTATAAATATTTTTGGGCATGTTAGGTTGCCATTAATAATTTCCTTTCATTGATAAATAGGTCCTTCCCCTACCTATGTGCTATGGCTGTTGGCTTGGCATTGTGCAGCTCTCTGACGCCATCACATATTCCTTTGAATAAGCGTAGTAGTTGTGTTTGGCTGTAGTGCTGTCCATTCTCTTTCAATTTATCTAACGCCTCTTGCAGCATCCCTCGCTGTTGGAAGGTAGAAGAAAATATTTAATGTTAGAAAATCCTACCATAGTACCATAGTACACTAAAAACAAGTAAGAACATTCTCTTTCAACAGAACAATTAACCACAAAACCAGCAAGAAAAATATACCATCTGTTGAAAATCAATTGCTGGTAAATATTAGTACGGAATATAGACCCAGGACAATTAAATGTTTGTTTAAACAGATTTGCCTGCTCTGAGTTAGTATACGTGGACATCCACTGTATCCATAGCCAGGCTAAAGCTACTGTGTAATTTACCTCAAAATTATATTTTACTCGGATAATTAGTCAGAGAATTTCTACACAACATTGTGTCAATATTTGCTTTAATTTTTTTAATTGCTTAAAATACTTATTTCATTTCCTACAATAGTAATAATAAGAGCATATTCTATAATCTATATTATGTTTTCTTATATCTATCAGGTTCCCTCCTATTGGGTATAAATCAATTTAACAAATTTATTATTATTTTAAAAAGTTTGAAAATGTATTGTGATATGATCATGAGAGGAATAAGTTATGGTTGATTTGTTATTTAATTAATATGAAACAAAATTGTTTTAAAAAACAAATTATTATTTTTTCAAAATGAAATTACAGAGAATCATTAAACCTAAAGAATATGACATCAATGCCAACATAATCACCATTTTAAGAAAAAAATTAAATGTTAAATTATTTAGTTCTAAAACCAAATTAAAAACCCAAACCTTACCCTATAAAATGGAAGTACAAGTAACACCTCGCAGATATCTCCACGTGGAATCATGCCAGATTCCTCCAACATGATAAGATTTGGGTGTGCAAACCGGCGGTAGTATTCCAACTCTTCCAACGCAACTTTCTCATCACTTTTGCTATGGCACATAATCCGTTTGCAGGCAAACAATTTCCCAGTTGGTCCCTCTTCTACCAGATCAACAACACTGAAACCACTATAATTAGAAAATGAATAAGTTTAGGATGGACAGAGAGGATGAAGATGAACGAAGTAAAGACCACAGATTAAATGTTATTGTCAAATATACAAGAATAATAATAATAATAATAATAATAATAATAATAATAATAATAATAATAATAATAATAATAATAATAATAATAATAACAATTACAACAATAATAATAATAATAATATCAATAATATAATAATAATATAATAATAATAATAATAATAATAATAATAAGCTCTATTTCAAACATGGAAACTTGGCTCAACTAGGGATTTGTTCACAGCTCTGTGGCTCAACTAACAGTTGTTATTCTGCAAGGCCATGTACAGATACAAATTTACAGTAACCAGAAAATCAAAAGAAACGAAGAATAACCTAAAAAATGACTTAAAATTAACTATCAAACAATTGTTTAAACTACCAAATATCTTATCAAACTTTGTGTGACAAATTAATGTGATATGCCCATATTTGGGTGTAATATGACATAACTATGCCCGTATATAGGCACACCACACAAGTTTGTTACACTTGCTGTTTTGGACAGAGCTTTACATTAGATTCAAATAATTGAAATTGAAATGATAAAAATGAATACCGTAAAACCTTGAATTGAAGCCCATCTCAAATTGAACCTCCTCTTTAGTTTGCAAAATTAGCCTCAAAAAGAAGTCCATCTCAACAAGAGGCCCATGGCTTCTCTTCAAGATAGCATAGGCTTCTTTTCGAGATAGTAATACAGTGCATACACTGTACATGAATTTCAGAAAACAAAATAAATTAAATACAAGCTTTGTTTTTTCACAGCATTCATTTTGAAAAGAAGCCCACTTTGCCAAAGTAGCCTCGAAAAAGAAGCCCATCTCGAAAAAACCCATAAAAAATTCGCAAAAAAAAGAAGTCTAGGGCTTTAATTCAAGGTTTTATGGTATGCTCTTAAGTGAAATATCACAGAAAAATATTTACAAAATTTACAATTTAAACTAAATTCATTGCAATTATTTCATACTGAAATACTAATAAGTTTTGTAAAAATATTACAAAACTTGAAGATTTACATAAAACTGTACAAGGTTATGAATTCATACAGGAATTACTGTACTACCTACTACTTACTTTTAGGCCTAAACTAAACAGTTACTTACCCTTCCCCTAATCTCTTTTGAACATAGAAACGTCTCGAGTTTAAAACCAACTTTTCCTTCGTACAGTTGCAGCCCATGTTTTCATATGCAGTACATGCAACAGCACAAGTTACATCCAATATTGGTCGAAAAATGCGGAGTAAAATTAAATGAATACTGTCCATACACCTTTGTTTTTTTAACAAATCCAATCAATTAAAAAAAAGTGGAGTCAATCTTCTATTTTGAACATCAATTAATAATTCACTGCATACATCAACGTTGGGACACATGAATAGGCTGCATGCCTATCATTTCCTACATATGGCGTATCAAATAGAATTCTTTCATTGTTTTTAAACAAATATCTAAAAAGGCATGATCTGGTTAGGCCCTAGGCCTATGTCTGGTGATACGGAAGTGGAGATTAGTGGAGAAGAACTGTTTTGCCAGTTGGCTGAGGGCGGTTGGTAGAGTAGTGTAGGCCTATCAATATCATCAGCCTAGCTCAGCTGTCGTATTAACTTACTGAATTCGAAGTCAAAAGCGAATAACAATAAGAACAAATTTAAATAAATTGTCTCTATTCCAACATAGGTTTGAAAATGCCCAATGTTTGCTGCCAACGATTCCTATGCTTAGGCTAGGCACTCTGGGGATAAGATGCAGTGCCTGTCTACTACACAATGCCACATCTTTACCACCTGCAATCAAAGTCAAATAAAAAATAAACAACTAGCTGGCCACTACCTCTTTTTACGCATGCGTGTGTAATTACGTCATATTGTAGATCGTGTTTTACCGGCGAACTGGACTGTCATCTAGCTTCTAGTTACACTTGTCTGGTGGATGGATGATGATACGCGCGAGATTCCCATCCGTCCAGGCACCACTGTCTTCGCCGACCATCATGGATATAAAATTTTAAAAAATCAAAAAAATAAAGCAAACAAACAAACAAATAATTATAACAAACAAATGTAAAATGAAATAAAATAAACTATGTAAGTGAATACTATATATCTAGGGCCTACATAATGAGGATATTAATTTTTAAAAATAGATAGGCCTAATATAAATAAATACATAACATAATAAAGGTTGATTAGCTTTCAATTAGTGGGCGGTAATTCATTTAATATATCATTTGTTCTGTAGTTCCATATAGCATTTTAGCACTGTTTACAATGATGATCAACAATTCCTTAAAATCGTAAGGACTTTTTTAATAAAGGTCATCAAAAATCGTTTTGTCCTTTAAAATGTTGATAATTATGGATGGCCTCCAAGTGATGTGTATAAGCTTTGGAAAATAACGTCACAATATGAGCCTATTTGAAGTAATTTTTTAGCAATGCCTTGTAATGACTTGTTATATTTATTGTGCACTGCACTTGATGAAGGGAGCATTGATTGCTGGCGAAAGCTTGTGAATAAATTCTCTGGTTGGTAGTTAAAGTGCTACCAGAGTTTTACAGTTATACCACTAATACGGCACCAATTACCAAGGCATTTTAATAATAACATTTATTGATAATCATCTAACCAATCATTTGAACTTAATTAAACTAAACTAAAACCAAATATGATAATAATTTTTTTGGTACATTTGCATTTTTTTGTTTTGTTTTGTTTTTGTTTTTGTTTTTTCCTTCTCTGTTGTTGTTAAGCGCCTCGAGGTTTTGTCAACGTGAGGCGCTATATAAATTCAGAATTATTTTATTATTATTATAATTTCAAGTGAAGTTGAGATGAAACCGATTTGGACATGGATGTATGAGAGAGTTGCCAGAAATAGACTCCCTGCTATAATATAGTATAATACAATATACATATATAGTATAATACAGTGTTAAAATATATAGGAACATAAATCGTATCAAACATAGTCAATAAACGAAAACGGTAAAATTGAAACATGTGCCTGGGCGGATGGGAATTTAGCGAATCATCCATCCAGGCAAGTAGGCCTACATTATTTAAACTATAAACTGTTGGGTCCAGTTCGCCGCTAAAACACGATCTACCGTATGACGTAATTAAATACGCATGCGTAGTGAGAAAAACAGCCTTGATAGCCCGATAGCTGAGATATGATTCCGCTGGCCGGTGACATTGCGTTTTCAGTTTTCGTGAATGCGTTTTCAGTTCAACTACTGTATTAACATATTTATTAGGTTTTAATATGTTTATTTTTAATGGGTTTTAAAAAGGTGATCAGTGCTAATACCTAAAAATACAGTATTTTCCAATTGATTTTCATAAATAATATAATGCGCAGATAATGCGTTTATGAGGACGCCACGTGCCGTATGACGCGTTTATTTTTAAAGTTATACAACTCTCTGCGCACTGCATGCTCCGCCCCCTTGTTTTGATGAAAAAGAAGAAACTCGATGGATCATGGGTAAAGTCGATGCTGTGTAGTAACGAAGGACGTATAAATAATAATGTTGTCTTCTATGTTAAAAGAGCACCAAGTGAAGCAGGCAAATCGCAAAGATTTACAAGGTATTTTTATATTTGCTCAGTGATGTTAAGAGAACATTATTATAGACTTGTTCTAGTTACCACATTATTGTTTTTTTTATTTTTAGCCCAGAGAAGTACTTACCATACCATACCAGCACAATATCTGATTGATCTGGTCAAGTTAAACGACTTTTCCCCCGTACCCTTTGATGTGTATTTTAGAGGAAGTGATCTTCAAAAAAGGAGGAAAAAGTTTAGTTAAACTTATTCCTCCGTTGACGAACTAGGCATAGGCCTAGTTATTTTTAAAATACATCCTCATGAATGAACTGTTGTCAGTATTTAATCATAAGTTATATTTTAGTGCTTGCAGTACACCGGTAGCCAGTATATTTGCCCTTATCACCTAATGGTGTTTTGACCATATCTGTTTAATATTTTAAAAATTTTAATTTACAGAAAAGCGCCGAAAAGAAGCAGTATCATCAGCAATGCTCTTCTCTGAGGTCCTTACAGAAAGACTTAACAGAGGGTAACTTCTTGTTAATGGTAGCTTTATTTATGTTTTAAAGATGTGCTTTTAATTGAAAATATAAGCAAGAAAATGTTGTCATCACAAATGATATAATTTAATTATTACTGTCCCTGTAGTTCTTGCATATATATAAATATTAAAACTTTTATTCAAAAAGTTATGCATGTGCAATTATTTACTGCATGAAAGAAAACTGACTTTGTAGTATAAAATCCATAGAATTCCATTTGAAGCTAATTCCCTGTGAAAAATTAAATCATTTAAATAAAATTTACAACAAAAAACCCCGGTCAAATAAATTGTTTCTAAAGAACAGAGAGCAAATTAGTTTGCGGGCCTACATGGAACCCTTTAATTGGCCATATATCAATTTAAGCATTTTTATAGTAAAAAAAGTCGCTAGATAAGCAAAAAATAATTATTTTTATTTGTGTTTTAATATATGATGATAACAATATTGTTGGGTTTTGATTGGATTCAGTCCTTGATGAAGGTGACAATATTTTTGTTCTCAAAAGCCATTTAAATTTTTGTATTTTAAACCATAAAATTTTAATCATTAATTTTATTGTGGTGTAATGAAAAAAATGTGAAGTATTTTTTGTTGTATTATTATAGTGTTTCCCAGGCTTATGCAAATGAGAAGAAACTTGATGCTGAAGCAAAGAAATTGCAAAACAGTGCATCACAGTTTAGCCGACAGACTATACAATGGCTTCAGATTATTGATAACTTCAACCAAGCATTAAAAGTGAGTTGGTGGTTGGTGGTTTAGGTGCTTCTTTACAGAGGAGCGGTTTGGTGGAGCGGTTTCGGTGCTACTTCTCAACCTTGAATTTGAGGTTCCATCTCTTGCTATGCATTTCACTTTGGTCCTTAGGCAAGGCACTTATCCTGCGGTTGTCTCTTTCCACCCAGAAATACAAGTTTGTACCTTGTAGGTTCAAACACAAAATATTTTTATTACAGCTGCAACATTATAGAATTCTCCCCAGGGACCTGAATATGCATTTCATATGTGCTTGATCTAATGACCAGGGGTAATAGTGTGAAGCTCTTAGAGGCCTTGTTGGCATTAAGCGCTATATAAGTCTAACATATTATTTATCAATCTCAGTGGTGCTGTGTTCTCATGATGTAAAGCTTTGTGTCCACATTAATATAAAATTTTATATGACAAACTGCCTATGTGACATTGTCAATAAAGTGTTAGTACATGAAAGCTGAAAAGTCAGGGGTTTTATGTGTCACCTAATTTTAGTTGCAAACTCAGCAAAAACTCATAGGACGATTCGGCCAGCTGGGGGAGAACTCATACAAACTCGTAGCAGCTCTGAACTTGTGGTGCTAATTTTGAACATGTTCAAAAATGGTGCTACGCGTTAACAACTCTTAAACATGAGGGACTCGCAGGTAACTTGTAGAGTACTCGGGCTACTCGTTGGCGGTTTTGTAATCCACGAGTTTGATGCAAGTACCCCGAAATGACTACAAATTAAGTAAGAGCACACCAAGTCGGTTATGATCACCAGGAACATTTGGTCGGAATGCTCGTATCTAATACGGTACAAACTTGTTACACTCATAATAACCTCATAAAGCTCGTAGTAAACCCGGTGCTTCGCGCAGCTCAAACAAGTGGCAGTCACAGTGGGCCTAAGCTTAGTTTGAAGGATTATAGCTAATATTTAGCTTAGGCTTATTTTGATGGTTTTATAGCTAATCATAACTCACCCCATGGACTTTGACTGTTTAAAATATGATTTCTTATTATACACACTTATATCCTGGTGTAAAAGTCTGAAATTATCTCCACTTTTTTAATACAATTTAGCAAAATTATTAATATTACATGAACTTGCAGGAGATTGGAGATGTTGAAAACTGGGCAACGAGTATTGAAACAGATATGAGGACGATAGCAAGTGCCTTAGAGTATGCCTACAAAGGTAATGCACTTCTTTAAGTGATTTACTTTTAAAATTTTAAAAATTGTATAAAAATTAACACAACAAAAACTAAAGGAACAAAATAATCACAGTAGTTAAAAACAAATCATTACATTTACGAATTCAGTTTTAAAATTGTCCTGTACTGTATATATAAAAGTGGTATTTTATTACTCATTTATTACTTTCTTTAATCTGTCTTTTAGAAACTGGAGAATGATGAGAAATAAACATGTTAAATCAGATACACATTTAATGACACAGCTCTTTGCAATGTCTAACATGTGGAGTGGAATTGCTGTATTTTTATGACATATGGGTTGTAACCTGGAGTTGATATACTTGGAACTGCCTGGTCCTGAGTTGAATTGAAATACATTTACTTACCAGCAACATGTGTTGAGCTGTGTCATGTGTTAAGCACTATGAAAATATCAAATACCTGTGTTTTGCCCATATATGGGTAAGATATAAATATCTTCATGCCCATATATAGGTGTAACATGACATCACCATGGTCATATATGTTGAAAAGATAAATGTCACAGACAATTTTATACAGTAATATGGAAGTATTGTAGTTTAAATTATCATGTCTGTCAGCGGGAGAAAATGTCATTCCTCGTCTGATGGAAGACTTAATATATGAGGCTTACCATCCCAAAACCAGCTTCGGTGACCAAAAAAAATTAACTTTTGATATATTCTTATTCTTCACATTTACTGCAATCGACTTACTGTTGCCAAAGGTGTGAGTGAAAATATTACTGCTTCTCTGTACTAAAGTATACAATGCTGCCACATTCTATGCCGATTACTCAGTTTGACAACTATGCTGGTGTTGGAATGTCAAGCCTCATATTGGATCTTTATCTGTAATAATAAAATAAATAAGATATAATAAAGTACTCTTATTCATCTCAAAGTTCATGTTAAAAAATACAGCAGAGTGTATGAATATAAGTTATTGTACATAAAAACAGCAAATTGGTTAAGCCATTAACAATTTATTTTT